ATAGTTCTTTACTTTGTCCTCTTTCTAGTGCAAACCAAAAACATGCCAATGAAATCAGAACATCTCTAAAACAAGACCTTTTCCCATAATACATCTAACTTACAGAAAGCAATTTGGTAGAACCTGTAAATGTCTGGAAATTTTGTATTAACGCTTTGCTGTAAATGGCATTGGTTTGTTTTTTTTTGTGCTATTTCTAAAATAGACATAGTGGAATTACATGTCCAAGTAACACTGATTTATTGCAATAGTTTTAGCAAGAGTTTTCAGGGAAAATTCATCTATCTTACCTTTTTCTTCATAATCTGTTAAGTTTCACTATAGCTGAATTTAGCCCATTGTCACTCTGGGTTATTCCAAAAACTAATAGGGCAGATATTTGACCATTTTTCAACAGAATCATAGATCATGCAGGATATATTGGTTTTAGATTTATCAGAAAAGCTGAAAAGCAACAGGGATGTCTGACACATCTATGCAAAGTCATTTTGTTCAATCTGATTCTCACTTGTGGAGAAAAAGGAAATAACAGAACTACTGTAAAATGTATAAGGGAAGACTGAAAAGGAAGAAAGCTTCAATGAAGTAAATCTCACATATTCTACCCAAACCCTCCTTTCAGTTTTTCTCAGCAGCGCAGTGCTAGCAGTGCTAAAAAACAATCTATATCTGCCCAAATGTTTGTGGATTTTCATGATGCTGAAGTGAAGCAGAAAACAGAAACAAAGACATTTTTAGAAAAATGCATGTGGTTCTGTATGCCATATTTTGCCAACTGATGTAACTTCAGCACTTCAAATCCTTCTACTGGAAATAATTCATTCTGCAGAATTGCAGAAAAGTGATGTACCCAGTGTTAAAGTGGAAGATACAAAGTTCCACATTTGACAGCTTACTATAAATCCTACAGGAAATGTTAGTTTAAATTAGACAGATCCATCTTGCACATTACTGCAATCTTCATTGCCACAGATTTATTATATCACTTTTTGGCTGGTTTTGTCTCAATCAGTCATGCAGCTGTTGCTCAGGAGTACAGCCTGCTGAGGTAGGCTCTGAGTAGTTTTATTGTCCTTGGAGGCAAACAGAATTTTAACTTAGTGCTTTTTTCCTTTTTATGTGAAAGTTTGTGGAATTAGACCTTGGCAAATATTTTGCCTGACTCTGGGAAAATATTATCGCTCCCTTCAGCATTTTGCGTGGTCAGTACAGCCTCATCTCTGTCAACAGTAATACATTATATCAAGGCATTGCTTCCCAGGCTATGAAGATGGTCACAAACAACTACTACCAACTTGACTCAGAAAAATGGCAATACTTTTCTCCTGCCTATTAAATAGAATCATAGAATAGTTAGGGTTGGAAAGGACCTTAAGATCATCTAGTTTCAACCCCCCTGCCATGGGCAGGGGCACCTCCCACTAAACCATGTCACCCAAGGCTTTGTCCAACCTAGCCTTGAACACTGCCAGGGATGGAGTATACATTACTGCTGTTTTCTAAGGGAGAGATTGTGACTGTTGTATTTTTTGCTAAATCTTTTTACAACTTCTAAACACACCAGTATTCACATAATGCAATTTTCATAGGAAGGTACTCCCTTTCCTTGCAAGCTGTACACCTCCAAACAGGATGAAAACCCTTTCATATTTCACTGCCTTTCAATTTTTGTTTTATAGGACAAAATCAGAATGGTCTGTTTTGTCTGAGGCAAGGATGGCACCTGTACTTTGTGCTCCTTTCTGCAGAATTAGTTTCAGAACCCTCTCGAATCATCCAGTACCTCCATAACTTTTTATCCAGGAATTACCTGGGCACTAATGCCCAGCAACAAGGGAAAGTGACCTCCTGTTGAACTTGAAAACAGCAAGTACTATGCCCTAGATAAGCACTTCCTTGAGCATCAACAGGTAGCAGTTCAAGATACCATAAATTAGTGCCATTTTTCTAACAAGGTAAAAAGAGCATCTTGCTTTCCATTTTCTTGCTAAATAACACAGCTCTTCACAATGATGCTAGCCAACTGACAGTTGCCAGGAGAGGTACACAAGAACAATTTCCTACCTTTTCTTGGTATCACTTGTTGTTCAATTAAGCAAACTTAAGCTGCTGCCCATTACTTTTACTGTATATCTCAAAGTAAAGTCACTTTAGCTTCCCTACTAATTTAAAATTTAATTTTCTGAGCAGCCAATACCTTTTCAAGAGTGAAATGCCGGTCTTCCCCAGCCAAGGTTCTTCAAGGTATTGTGAATCATGTAGATAAAACCAGCAGATGCCCAAAGAAACTGCTATATTTTGCTGTCCTACTTACGGCTCAAGTCAGGGAATGAAAGTAGCATTGGATAGTATATAATGCAATATGGGAGCACCAGTGTCATTCAACAGCAGCCACCTTTCATTATTTACACAACCTTTACTGCACTTTACCAAGTGAACAGCAAGTCAACAAAGGAGTTGTTTTGCACCTCTGAGATGCCATTGGTTACTCTGACCTGGAGCAGCTGGCAAGGATGTTTCTTCTAGGAACATTTCACCAGTTGGAAATTGCTGCACAGGAACATGTTGGTTACCGTGTGGAATCCAAGGACATAATGCTTTAAAGAGAGCACCAATCTCCCTAGAACCTTTTCTCTCAGCACAAAAATTTGGATGCTGTACCAGCACTGCTCTATCACTATCTTTTTTAGCTAGAGTTCACCTGAAACAGGAATGGAGAGAGACAAATTGCTCCAGATTTACAGAAGAGATACTACTGGTTTCTCTTGGGGGAGCTGTTGACTCTTACCACATCCACTGAGGTCTTGGTCCCAGACATAGCATGTCTGCTGATACACTGCATGTACAAAAAGATTAGGTACACTAGATGACAGCTAAATCCACTTGTACATTTTTAGAAAGTCCTGGTCTCAGAAGGGAGTTGGTACTAGTAGTTGGGAGATGATTAGGAGCATATTTTTTACATTCCTGTTCAGCTGTTACTGGCTGTGGATGTGCTTATTGAGCATCAGTACAAAGCTGGAGCATGAGACTTTAAATTCACCTGTATCTTTACCAGAACATCACTCACAGTTGGGTATCACAACTTACCTCCTAAGCCACTAGACTTCATTACCACACAGCAGGAACCATATGCTCAGTCTTTGACATCCTGAAGGACTATTATGTCAGCTGAAAGTCCGTTGCATTCAATGACACAAAAATACGCTCCACACATGCCAGTTTCTAAGCTGGGCACAAAATTTACCTAAACATATCTTATTAAGTCAGTGCTGATGAATCTGACCACAGCCAACAACAAAAGCAAGTGTCCCCTCTGGAAAGAGTTTCATAATCTCTGCAAATAAAGGAGTTGACTACCCGCATGTTTATTAGTAGAAATCCCAGCAGATCCTCTTGTCATTAATGCAGTACAAGTAGATATGCCTTTCAGACTCTTCTCTAGGCTGCTGCTGCTTTTCCTTCTCTCCATCTGTAGAGTCATTCAGAATAACATATGAATGAGCACTCTTCAGAACAAAATTGGCTGAAAATGGTATCTAGGAATAAGCAAATATCCAGAAAGGTAAGACTGCACATGTCTCTGACATTTTTTGGCTTCTCAGGGGTAAGAAAGCTAGTTCAGGTTATGAAAACTTTCCAAGGAATAGTTACAAGCTGCAGCATAGCCTATGTGTGAGGGCTAGAATATTTTTCCAGCCAGATTTTCAAAAGACAATGAATGCTCTCATATATTGGACAGCCTGTAACAGCGAGGGTTTTTTTCATTAAAATACCTGAAACTGCATTCTAAGACATAGCTTCCATGTAGTGTCAAGATTTTAATACTGCTGCTCAAATTGCATGTCCTTAGAGGAGGCAGTAAATTACATTGTTCATGTACTGTTCTCACAGTCATTACTACTAGTGAGAAGCAATCCATTGATATTTTGGTAGCATTGTACTTCTTAAATGTGCATGATACCAATCAGTACCAAAAATTATGAGGTATCCATACTCTGATGGTATTTTGGAAGACTATTCTTGTATATGACCTGTGCTGCCTTCCATGGAATAGCCTGACTCTAACCAGTATTACCCTGTCATTCTGTCTCTTCATGTGTCCTGCTGTTCAGAGGATGCCATCATTATTTGTGCTGAACCACCACTCCAGGACTAGGGAAGGGGGCAAGAGAGGTTGTGATCAGGTAAAGAATTGTGTCACAAGGAGAATGGGAGAGTTCCAGTGCCCCAGTCCTACCTCATAGTGCAACCTCCAATGCAGAATGGAGTCCCCAGGAAGACTCCCAGACTCCCACTGAAAGAGACTTTCCAACCCACCATTATCTGCTCTGAAACTCCACTGAAACCTGCCTAGTGGCACTATGACACTGCCTATCATGAAAGAATGAAAATGTCATTGATTATAATTATTACTCATGGCATTCAAGCCAATAAACACAGGAAAAGCCTGGTTGATCCACATCTTTTAACTCCAGAGATAACAATACTCCAAATCCCACGACCCTACATACCCCTTAGCCATTCTGTGCAGACCCATAACATGTGCACTGTGGCTGAATGATGCTTGAACTCTCTCTTAACTCCTTGCAAAGACACATCATGGGTGTACTGGATCCAGGCTGGATGTGTCACCCCTGCTACAGCCAAATTGTTAACAACCATAGTATCTGTAAAACCGACATTTTGGAAAACGATTTGGAATTCTACTTCCAAAGACACTTTTTCACTTCTCGGACTCTTTCACTTAGTTCTCCCTACCCAGTATATAAATACCGATATTTGACTATGACTCTACAGTGGTTACAGAGGCAGCAAATTCTTTCAGCTACTTGACATAAGCTTTCAAGGACTGAATGCGAGATGACTGCCATGATCTTTCTTCATAGGTTGCAAATTTTGACTTCATTCCTTGTAACAGTGACTCTTCATTTACCAGTTGGCTCTAGAGAAGCCACACCACAGAAACAAAATTATAACAAAGGAGAAGAATTTGTAACTGTACCTGTACCTCAACTGTTTGACCACCCTCACAGTAAAAAAAGTTCTTATGCTTAAGTGGAATTTCTGGTATTTCAGTTTCTGTTCACTGCCTCTTGTCTTTTCACTGTGCACTGCTGAGAAGACTCTGGCTCTGCCTTTACACCCTCACGTCAGGTATTTACATAAATTGATAAGATCCCCCCTGAACCCAGAGTGTTGGCTTTCTCTGCTGCAGGACCACATTCCTGGCCCATGGCCAGCTTGCTGTCCACCAGGATCTTTGGGGCTTTTCCTGCAAAGATGCTTTCCAGCCAGTTGGTCCCCAGATTGTACTGGTGCACCATTTTTCTCCTCACTAGGTACAGGACTTTGCATTGTCCTTTATTTAATTTCATGAAGCTGCTGTTTGCCCATTTCTCCAGTCTGTTGATCTCTCCCTGAATGGTAGCACAACCACCTCCCAGTTTTTAACATCTGCAAATTTGCTGAGGGTGCACTCTGTCCCATCATCTAGGTCATTAATGAAGATGTTACACAGTACTGGGTCCAGTATTGACCCTTGGAATACACCAGTAATCACTGGTCCAGCTGGACTTTGTGTCATTCATATCTTTTGACACCAAAATTTCAGTTCTCAGTCCATTTCACAGTCTATTTATCTAACCTGTATTTCATTGGTTTGTCTAGGAGGATGTCATGGCAGACAGTGTCAAAAGCTTTGCTGAAGTCCAAATACACGACATGCACTGCTCTCCTCTTGCTCACCAAACTTGTCATTTCATCGTATAAGGCTACCAGGTTGGTTTGCCCTTCACTGTTGATTTACCTGTAGAAGTCCTTTTTGTTACCTTTCTACCCCGAACAAATTCAATTCCAAGCGTGCTTTGGCTTTCCTAACTCCATTTCTATATAGCTGACAATATCTCTATATTCCTCCAAAGTTACCTGTCTCTGCTTCCCTCTCTTTATGCATCCTTTTCATGCCTGAGTTTACTCAGGAGCTCCTTGTTCATCCATGCTGGCCTCCTGCCACCTTTGCCTGATTCCCTGCACATGTGAATGGATCATTTTGGAAATCTTTGAAAATCAGCCAGGTCTGCTGGGCCCTTCTTCTTTCCAGGATCATATGCTAAGAGAGTCTTCCAAGTAAATCCCCTGAACAGGCCAAAGTCTGCTCTTCTGAAGTTGAGGGTTATGATCTTGCTATTTGCCTTGTTCTCTTCTCGGAGAATGCTGAGCTCCAACATCATATGTTCAACTTCATGCAGTATCTGTAATAGAGAAGGAAAAGGCAGCTCAGAAATCATGAACTTTTTCTGTTGGATATTGCTATGTTTGTGTGATACTAACTAAAAGAACAGCAGCAAAATTACACCCCAATTATATGTGACAGCTACAAAACTTGGTAAATTAAAATAACTTCTATAGTGGCTAAAGTGGTCTGCAAGAACTTCTAAACAAAACTGAGATATTCTGTGCCCCTCCAACACTAGTAGTGTTACTAAAGTGCAGTGCTCCCCAGATCCTCAAATGCAGGTAGCAACTATTTCAGAGCATACTGCAAATATAAGTTTATCAGTTGTTTAGCTCTCTACATAATCATTGCACAGGTTCTGGCTTAAGCTAAAGAATTTATGTTTGAAATAAATCTGGTTTAGCTTGCTCACAGCTCCTTTTGGTGTGAGGAATCCATGGGAGACAGTCAAAGCAGAACAGGATGATCTTCGGATAAAACTTACCACTGGGCTAATCTCCCAGGTGGAGAAGGAGCACAAAGTAGGAACGATCTCCATCATGAGGTACTGTATCCTTCTTGCTCCTCTCTCCTCTGACCTCTTCCAGTTGCAGCCTGTCTTGTACTGAAACTGAGGACTTTGTGCCTTGGTTCAAATCTTGCAAAGCTGCTTTGCTTAACTAAAATCCCCAACTGACAATAAGCAGAATAAAATACTAATTCTTACAGTGGCAGTATCATGTGCTTCTAGGGCCATTAGCGTTTCTTGTGAGATCTGAGTGGCAGTTAACATAAGGAATTGGTTGTGCACCACTTCCTATGTCCTTATTTTGCATAAACCTCCCTGCATTAAAATGTTATGTTCTTCAGTGTCATGCTGACAGCTCCCCTGCTCTCTCACACATACATACATGTTTTAGTCACTTGTAAATATGAAAAATACTGATATAGGAAAATTGAGGTAGTTGTTTGGTCGCCATTAAGATCTCCAAATATAACATTCTGTTATAATTTTAGTTCAAATTTCTTATTAAATGGCCTAGTATATAACGCAAGCCTTGAGAAGTGGCAGGAGACAAATAGGAGAGATATTTGATTATGCTTGACATACTAAAAGTACCTTTGCTTTGTGATCAACAAAAGGTCAGGAACATTTTGTTACTGCAATAATTGCATCAATTACAAGCTGCCCAACCTCTCCCTGCAAAAGCAACATGCACATGAGCTACCTGCAGCCTCCAGGCTTTACTCCTTATTTCTTGTGGGATTTTCCTTTGGGAAAAGAAGTTGCCTTTAGATAGGCTCAACACAATTCACTAAATACTGTTGAACATGGTAAGCAAGAGTTTATAGAAGAAAGCTTAAGAAAACAAATTGCACAGTTAAGTACCTATATCCAGCTACAGGAAAGGGGGTTTTATACCTCCACACAAAAAACTAAACTTAGATTACTGATTGCCAGGAGTAGTCATATTGAGGAAGTATCACTCCATACACAAGCCTTTCCTTATACTTTTTCCTGGATGTTAATTATTGACAGAGCCTTGGGTGGCATGGTTTAGTGGGAGGTGTCCCTGCCCATAGCAGGGGGGCTAGAACTAGGTGATCTTAAGGTCCTTTCCAATCCTAACTATTCTATGATTCTATGACCAGTATTAGAAACGAGATACTGTTCTAAGTAGAACTTTGTTCTAAGATATGGATTCATGGAATGGTTTGGGTTGGAATGGGCCTTAAAGATCATTTTCTAGTTCCACACCTTCCGCTAGACCAATATGCTCTAAGCCCCATCCAACCTTGGCTTGAACACTGCCAGGGATGAGGCAGCCACAGCTCCTCTGGGCAACCTGTGCCAGGGCCTCACCACTCTCACAGTGAAAAAATTCTTCCTAATATCTAATCTAAATCTACCCTCCTTCAGCTTAAAGTATTAATTCATAGACTTTATGAATCACAAATTATACTTTTAAATACAATTTCTGGATGATGGAATGGCCTGCACTTCATAGGAGAAACAGTCAGTTCACGGAAGCAGTAGGAAACTATCATACTTTGCCCAGACCTGCTCAGATTTGCAACTTTGCAAATATTCAGAGATCCTGCAGTTCATAATCAAAGTTGAAATTAGATGAGTTTTGATGGTTTGATGCAGTAACTGTAGTTGCAGTCACTGAGGTTCTGCCTGCACTTCAGGGCTATGTTTTTCTCTGCCTGTTTTTTTAAATAACTGCAGAAATGGCCACATTCCCATTTTACACCAGAGACATCTGAATGACAGCTTCTTCAAAAGTATAACACTCCATCATGCTAGCCATGTTCCTCTCCAGATTTTACAGTACTGCCCAACTAAGTAGAATTCATGCCTGAATTTTCCATTGAAAAACAATTCTGGTCCAAGAAAATATTTAAGCTAAGCACATAGAAAATTAGGACTGTTCTTTGTAACCCACTCCAAGTAAATAAGTAAGTCTGCAACACATAAAAAGATGTTTTGCTAGCACATATTAAAATTGATGCAATGGAATACCATTAAGGATGTCATACAAGGGAAGTAAGTGCTTATTAGGCAGTTTCACAGGTGCACTATAATTCATGATTTTTGTTACAATGTTTCTTTTTCAAAACTCTTGCTATTTGCTGCTTGAGAGGTGCAGTTTTCTAAAGCAAAATTTACTTCTTACTAATCATTTTAACTTGAAAATGACCTTTAAGTATTTTTTTTGTTAAAAAATAACAGTAATATTAACTGTGAGAAGTTCCTATGAGTATATTGAGGGATTTAAAAACACCATAAAACCTTCCTCTTCTCCTGACACTATGCTGACTGATCCTAATGCTTATGCACATGATACCTGTAGTTTCCTGAGTCTGTGCAACCAACAAGAACTCCAATCACATGATTTTTTTTGCTGCTGCTCCTGTTCTCATGGAAACAGGTGTCAGAAATAGTTATTTTAAACTAATCACAGTTTCATTTAAAGAAAGTCCTTTGAGAAGCCATTATTAGGTACAGGCATGAGTGTTCCCCCCTCCCCCCCCCCTTCTGTTTTTTAAATATTATCTTTGGTGGATGTTTTCTCTACCATCAATTATTTACTATTCTCTTGGTGCAGTCTTCAGAGTGAAAGCTAACAAGTTCCAATCTGTGCATGGTCTTAGTACAGTTTCCAGGTAACAAAGTACCAGTTCTTATCATATCTATTTTGTAACTGTGTAGTGTAACTCTGCTAGCCCTACCACAATTATATGGAACTTTTTATCTATTTTAGCACATTACTAAATCCATAATCCAGTCAGTGCCTCACCCTTATTTCCTGGCTGCTTTTTTGGATAAAGTTGATCAGTGTCACGCTGTAACAGAGTGGCTTTCGTCACTTGCTAAGTATTCGAAAGTCATTACTATTTTTATACCATGCCTGGCTGAGTCACACCAGGCTTAGCTAGGATAGCAACATCTTCCAGGAAGCACTTGCCAGTGGAAAGGTGAGCAGCTGAAGATGATCCATGATCTTTTTGTCCCAAAAAGCAATATTGGCCCCTCAGCTTACAAAAGCTCTCAGTTTCAAAAAAGAAATCTGCTATGCTGTGGGATCTTTTAAAGTAAGCTGACCTAACAGAGAAGCCAACAGCTAGCCAGAAAGAAAATCAGTGAAATTCTGAGATAAGCAACGATACACAAACTTCATCTGCAAGTCTGGGAGTTTGAAACATCTAATCTTACTGTAGCTATGTACCTATCAAGTGTGACTAAGTTGCAGAAAAGCCAAAATCTTAAGGTGAAATGAAGCATCTGACTAAGTAGGCAGGTGCAATACATGTAACAGGAACAAGCAATCATGGCTTAGCATCAGAAATGGTGATACCCTCACATTGAGCAGCATCTACCTAAACAACCTGGATAGTAAGAGGAGAGAAGACTGGGCTAACTGGGGTACCATAATGTAGAAGATAATATAAAAGATAACAGAAATTGTGTGAGTTTGCAGCCAAACTTCAAACTGGGCTGTTCATCAGATTTGGACAGAAAATGCAGCCAGCACACGAAAAGTTTATTTCTTTTTCCTCCAGCTTGAGCCAGTGTATCATGCAAATGATATAGCAAGGGAGTGACTAACAAATGATCTGTCATACCAAGAGGTAAACCATTTAATATCTTTCTCAGACAAACTTCTCCACATGCTGGAGGAAGGTTGCAACTAAAAGAAACTGCTTTCTGTAAAAGAATTAAGTGCTCCTCTCTCAAAAAGTATATGATTTTGTTTCTCATGAATTGTGCTGTTCAGGTTAAAAGCAAATGGGAAGTATTAAGCAAGTTATCATTTTGGTGTTACTGCAAAAACAATTCCTGCTGCGGCCACGAAAAGCCTGAAATGCAGGTTGTAGTGCTTTAAAAACACTTGTTATGCCGCAACAAAAATCCAGATGAGCCACGATTAATAATCAGAGTTTTCATTATCATTCCTAGAATTAAACAGAAATCCCAACCAATGATTTTTTCCCCTACTTCACCATGTCTCTGAAGAATCTATAATCCATGATGTGTGTTTATTTTACTGATCTCCGTATGCAGGCAGTATGTTTTCACCTGCAGGGCTGACTACTCACTGCACACTGTATATGGGCGGCTGTTGTACAGTGAATGCAGGACCCTGTCCCCATGGCTTCCTCAAGGGAAGGGGAGGCTGTTGTCAGTGCCCTGGGCCTTAACTCCCTGACCAGATCCATCAAGCACTTCAGTCCCTGCCCAAGCTGTATTACATGCAAATCTGTCTCCAGTCCAGTCTCTGGTCCTGCCTCCTGAATGAGCCTCAGAGCTGCGTGTAGATGGATGGACCCCATGTATGTACATTGTAGCTTGTCTCCAGCCTATCTTTGTCCCCGTCTCCTGGATGGCTTTTGGACCATGTAGGAGCCATGTCTATGGCCCTGTCTTCATTTGCTCCTGACTCCCTGTTTGGACTCTGAATCTGACTCACTGGTTGTCTGATCTGTGACTATTGATGGATGCTGTTACCATCACCCAGCTCTGCCCATGTTCAGACAGGATATGGCTATCCATCAGTGAGGGCACTTCCCAGGCTGGGGCCACCCTCAGGTTCTGGTTCTCCTTCCCTTAGGGCGAAACCAGCCCTTACTGCTCCCTGACAATTATTTTGCAACCCAAAAAAAAAGTTTAAGCTGGTCTTAACTTTCCTTCTGCCTTTACCCTGCCCATAAAAACAGAAAAGACTGAATAAAATTACAGCATTTTGTTTCCTTTGTTAATAATAATGGCAGCAATACATATGAGATCATCCTACAACAGAGAATCTTACCTTCAGATAAAGTATGTACTCTGCCCTGTAGACCAGGCACAAACCAAGGGGTCACAAGGACTGAACTAATTTGTAACCAGTAAGAACTGTTGCTGAAACCTAAAAGATCAGAAAGACATAAAGAAAGCATTTGTCTTCATTCAGATGAACAGAAGCTTGGCCATGGGCATGTGCGATTATTTCACTACTTGTATGAGGTTTAGCTGCCTGCATAAAAAGAGACCTTTTTTAACAAATTAGATAAATACATTTAGCTTTTGCAAAATAAAGGCATAAGGCCAGCCTAATGCTACAAGCAGCCTTACACCACCTCTTCCCGCTCTATGGTCATAAAAGACGTCTGGCCTATTTCTCTTCTCTGTTACAAGATCTCCCCTTAGTGTCAAATGTATGAATAACAGCTTTAGCTGCACAATTTACCTATGGCCTATGTTGGGTCCAGTCTTCCAGATTCTGGCTTGTAAATAGCCATATGGTCACTAACCTCAGTGTATGGTGGACCATATTTACTACATGCTGGAGCAAAAATGCAGTATTCAGATGGAAATGTGTATAATCTATTTCAGTTTTACAACTGCAGGAGGAGTTCTGAGGAGAAAACCAAAGGCAGGTCACTTAAGCAAGAAAAACAAATCACTTTGCTATCTGTTCTCAGTCTACTGATCTCACACAAGGCAGTGGGAAACTGCTTTGTCCTTCAATATTCTTGATTCTACCAGATTCATTCCAGCAGTGGTTTTGGTACTAAGACAAATGGCAGAATACATAGCTAGATCCACAAAGTTCTTGTTCAAGTTACTAAAAACTGTAAACATTCATAAAATAGGCTTCAGGGGCAGGTCTGTGCTTAATTCATAGGCTGTTGAATTCAGCCTGTTTCCCATTTTTTTGAACAGTACAGAGGACTCTCCATACAAGATGCAGGCTATACAGACTCTTCCAAGAGAGACTTCTGACTATACTACCAGTTGCAGAACATGGCACTGCCAAAAAAAAAAAAATCTTAAAAAGCCAAAGGCTTGCAGGGAAGAGAATCATATAGGAGAACTCATGTTGCTTTCTATAAACAACTGGTTCCCTCAAACTAGAACTGGGAGCATGGAAAGGCCTTGGGCAAAATTCTGTCTGGCCCAGCCAACTCCACTCCTGAAGCTCAGGGGAGCATGTACTTCACTGGGAACATTAGCACTGCCTGAATAGGTTCAGCATGTGCTGCAACTACTGTTTGTTATGAGAGGATGCGGGAAAAGGTTCAGTTTGTATCCATCACTCCCTCAGAACTAGAAGAAACAGCACTGCTTTTTACCAGGAGTGTCCAGGATTACCCAAATATGGCTGTTGGGGTTCTGTGACAAAGCACTGAGAAAGTGAGGTTGTGGCATTCAGTACATGCAGCTTAAAATGACCCTTCTGTTCTGTGCAGATTTCCATCTTCTGCTCATCTCCACCATTCCCAGATGTAGAATCTGCCATACCTCGTCCAGAATCAGGTCCATATTGAATATGAAAGACTAAAGCTGCATCTGAAGTGACTGCTTCTGGCTGGAGCAGCATGCCTATGGACATAGCTGACACTTAACCCAATCTAGACCTCACAGAGTAATATTGAAGAAATTCTTAGTGAACTTTGTATTTCTACAGCACTGAGGAAAGAATTGACTTCTACTCTTGCTGTGTGAGGAGTATTTACTTTGGACTGATGCTACAGACAAAACGTTTCTAACTACTTAGAATCACAGAATCATAGAATGGTTAGAGCTGGAAGGGACCTTAAAGATCATTTAGTTCCAACCCCCTGCCATGGGCAGGGACACCTTTCATTAGGCCAGGTTGCTCCAAGCTCCATTCAACCTGGTCTTGAACACTGCCAGGCATGGGGCAGGCACAGCTTCTTGAGGCAATCTGTGCCAGTGCCCCGCCACCCTTATAGTAAAGAATTTCTTCCTAATGTCTAATCTAAATCTACTCTCTTTCAGTTTAAAAGCATTCCCCCCTTGTTCTATCACTGCATGCCCTTGTAAAAACTCCCTCTCATACTTAAGAAATATTGACTAATTCTTTTTCATAGCTAATTAACAGCAAGAACAGAAATTCTGTGTGCATCCAAAACACCTTGTAAAAGTTGCAAAAATTGTGGGCAACTTACCTTGCTCTAATTCTTTATTTGCCTTGGCTGGTTGTTACTGTCACTGTTTGCTATTTTGCCACATTGTCAAGCACCTACATTGTGATGTTTGTATCATGGTACCACAGGTATTTCATCACCTATGATAACAGAAATCACTGACATAGTCACGAGAAATGGCGAGATTCCCACTGACTTCCATGGCTGGGATTTCACATAGCATGTACCATTGCAACACCACAGCAGGAACAGCACGACACCAGAACCCCATATGAGGTGCCATAGCACTAAGGCAACCAAAAACAAATGAGGGATTTTTTAGCCTGGGCAGACCCAGTTCCAATACTGCAATATGGATTGCAGTATGGATTGTATTACTCTTTATTTGTTTGCTTCTTAACCCTGCCATAAAAAGGTATTTGAGATCTACTAATTCTGGGGCATAGGACATAATTTTGTGACTTCAGCAATGTAATGAGTAGTGTTTTACACCTGTATCTTCAGGAAAATCCCTCTTCCTCCAAACAGAAATGTTAGCTTTCATGGGGCACTTTCTGATTTAAAAGTAATCAGGCTGGGTTGATTTTAGCCTCTTTCCTTCCTTATAGCAACCTTACTGTAACAAAGCCCACAAAAGAAAACAAAAGAATGCTCTAGACTTCTTAAAATATAGTGCTGAAAAAGAAGTTTTACAAGAAGCAACTGATAGAAAGTTCTTTTGTCCTTTTCACATACTAATAAACTTCTCATTCATTTCTGTAAGGCTGACTTAGGCTTTTCTCTGATAAGGACTTGTAATCTTCAGGTGCCTTTTTACCTTGATGATATTCAGGGCATTAAGTATTTAAGAATTTGAGAAGATTGCCTGTGGCTGAAAAAGCACAGAAGTTACTCTCTGATAAGACAAAGCTCTTGGTTTATAAAACAACTTACGATTTCTTCACCAGTCCAGGCATATATATTCAAGTAATGCCAAGATGAAAAGCTTTCTAGGAATATTGTCCTCTGGTGGAATTGCCAACTATTCTGGTTTGGCTCACTGCTTCCTAAATATGAGGTGGGCCTCAGTAGGAACATGTGTAAGTATTAAAGATGGACAGAGCACAACGTAAGGAAGTGGTTCAATGAGGCAATAGCTGAGACAAGGGTGAAAAAGCAGCAATAATAAGGGAGATATGGGGGCAGCTGAACACTGGAATAGGTTGCCCAGGAAGGTTATGGACTGCGCATCCTTGGAGAACAAAACCCAACCGGACCCGGTCCTGGGCAAACAGATCTAGCTGACCCTGCCTGAGCAGAGCAGTTTAATCAGATGTTTTCAGGAGGTCCCTTCCAGCCTCAGCTATTGACACAACAGCAGAGAACAACTGGACCCAGAAGCAACGGCTAAGGTGGCGGCATTAACAAAGCCTGCTAGAATAAGGTCAAGAATAGCTGCTACAACGAGATTATGGCAGAAATGTCTCAGATGTTCTCAGTCAATGCTTCTGGGAATAGACTACTTCTGAAGGGACCACCAATGCCATTGAATTCCTAATGTGCAACAGCCAACTCTGAATAAGAAGTGCTAAGAGCTCACCCTGTCTTCCCTAGAAAGCATCAGGGAGGCAAACACACTTGAACTATGCCCACATCTTCTAATTTCTTCACACATGAAGGCACTCCCCTTCAAACTTTACAAATTGCACATCTATAGGAAGCACAGTAGAAACAGAATACTGGCTCACGTTCATGTTTGCCCTTCTACTCTGGAGTATTCTGACTGATTAATGAAGGTGCATGCAGTAGGTAGCTGGGAGATCTGTTGCCATGAAAACCTGGAAAGTGCCATCTAGAGGGACCTTGACATGCTTGTGAGGTGGGCTGATGCCAACCTCATGAAGTTTAACCATGACAAATGCAAGATCCTACACCTGGGTTAGAGCAATCCCAGGCACAGATACAGGCTGGGCAGAGAAGAGATTCAGAGCAGCCCTGCGGAGAAGGACTTGGGGGTGCTGGTTGATGAGAAAATGAACATGAGTCAGCAGTGTGCGCTTGCAGCCCAGAAAGCCAACCGTATCCTGGGCTGCATCAAAAGGAGCGTGACCAGCAGGTCAATCCTGCCCCTCTACTCTGCTCTTGTGAGACCTCACCTGGAGTACTGTGTGCAGTTCTGGTGTCCTCAATATAAAAAGGACATGGAAGTGTTGGAACAAGTCCAGAGAAGGGCCATGAGGATGATCGGGGCACTGGAGCACCTCCCATATGAAGACAGGCTGAGAAAGTTGGGGTTGTTCAGCCTGGAGAAGAGAAGGCTGCGTGGAGACCTCATAGCAGCCTTTCAGTATCTGAAGAGGGCCTATAAGGATGCTGGGGAGGGACTCTTCATTAGGGACTGTAATGATAGGACAAGGGGTAATGGGTTAAAACTTAAACAGGGGAAGTTTAGATTGGATATAAGGAGGAAATTCTTTCCTGTTAGGGTGGTGAGGCACTAGAATAGGTTGCCCAGGGAGGTTGTGAATGCTCCACATGGCATGGGGGTTGGAACTAGATGATCTTAAGGTCCTTTCCAATCCTAACTATTCTATGATTCTGTGAAATTTTGGATTAAAGAAAGCCCAATGCCAAAGTTGGCAGTTATTACAGCAAACTGTCCTCACATCTGCCCTTCCTCACATTAACCCAGAGTACATTCAGTAATGAGTCAACAGAAGAGCATGTCCTCTTCATTAGTGTCACCTTTTGCAAGAACTAGCATAATGCAACCCAAAAGCTAAGGAAAACTACCTTTTTTCCACTTGGTTTCACTTTAAAGTGTCCATGCAGAAAGTGCTTTCCCTAAATGTCTTACACCTTGTTTGAATTTTTTTTCTTTCTTCTCCTATCACAACTTCCTTGGCTCCAAAGATGCAACAAAACTTGGATATCAAAAGTGGACATTTGTTCGCAGCCTTTTGTTCTTCCAATCTGAAAATTATTACAAATGTAGAGCTTTTAAATGTATCTGTTCTGCCAGTTTTTCACAATTAACTGGAGCTCAAGATGTGAAGGGCTGAAATAAGCTACACAGAGTGCAAGCAATTAAGCACATGGATAGGAGGTAGGGGTCCACATCTTAATGCCTTGAACCCATGTGTCTAACACTGGCTCTGCCTGTTGGGGACACTGATCCATGAGGATATCAGCAGTTAGACTGGATACATTTATTTGACTGCATCCCATTGCACAAACATAGAAAGTTGGCGCATCTTTGCAGGAAATCTTGCTGCCGTAAGTACAGTGACAGTCACATGAGGTATCTTTTCTTCGACTGAGTGTGCCATGCACAAGAGACCATGAGCTGGGATGTTTGGTATAGACCTGCGTACTGCTCTTGACTCATTTCAAGTAAGTCAGCCTGATCACTTTTAAGCCCAAATTCATCTTGCAGTCAAGCTGCCTGGTTATGAGTCCAAGCCCAGAAGAACATGTTCATGTCATGGTGAGATTTGGGACACTTAGAAGGAAAGACTGAACTTGTCCAGATGCTCAGCACAGGCTCTGCCACATCTATCCTGCAGTGCTGTTTGGCAGGACACCAGCACCCAAGAGACTCATCCATTCCCTACCATCTCCTCCCACAATCTTGAAGGGATGTCATATGGGCAATGGCAAGCAGACAAATTGGCCAGGCTCCTTCATAGAAGTCCTCTTTCTAACATGATATATATCTTCTGAATCTAAGCCGGCATCATCTGTAAGAAGGGTCCTGGTGGGAAACAGCCAGGACAAAAGCCAAGCTCTGTACCCCAATTGCTTTTCCTGTTAACTGAGCATCGCTGGGGCAACTGAAAATGGTAAATCACAGAGACTAAAGGGAAGCATGAGTGTATATTTGTGTTTGTATGCAATTTTAGGTAACAACATGAATTTTCTTCCCCTTGTAACTACCTCAATTAAATAAGACACAATAAATATTACATTAAGAGCTACCAGCATCAGTTATTACATCTACATCCCCCTGAGAGTCCGCCTCCCTGAGAGGCTGCTGCTCCTGAAAGCCATATAGGCTGCCTGTAGCACAAAATGTGTCATCCTGTAACTGGTAAAATGATAGAAAGCAATATGGGTGGGAATAAAAATCTGTCCATAAAGAGGAAAAATTATTTGTTCTATTCAGCAGATCCTTTCACAAAGTTCCAGGAATGCTACCTGAATCCTCAAAGGAAAAGGGAAGAAAGGCCCCAAACGTGTTCCTGTAGCAAGCAGCAGCTCAGGCCATGCTGCTTATCTTGTCCTTTACTGACATCTCACCACATATGTTCACAGGATCAATGTCTAAACTAGCATCAATGTTATACTGCATGAAAGGCCTTAGGGCCAAATCTGCTCTTTCTTGTTCACTTGTTGCTACAAACTTCTTTGCTTTGTAACCAGTACAGGGACTGTCTCCTTCAGAATCAGCCTGCCAGTCCTATGTTGCTATGGTGGGCACAAGAGACACCCATAACACCAATAACATGACAGCTTGGCAGAGCTCCTCTGGAAGGATTATTCATTTTCTTCTCCAGAGTTCTAGACCATAAAAAAGAATCACAGGCCAAGCAGATTACCCTCTACCGAGCTCACCGTATTGCTGTTCCACACCAAGTCTAGGCTCTGCCTAGGCACAGTCTCTAAGCACAGGCTTATCATGGTTTGCTCTGCAAAGCACTGGGGCTCCAGAGCAAAACTACCCCCATGTGCAAGCTCAGCAACTTCACCAAGGTGTGCAAATTAAAGGTTTTCAAAATGCTTAGCTTCAAAACAAAGGCTGGAGGGGACCAGAAGGGCCTTTACTGTGCTTTTTGCCAGCTACAGCTGACACACGCCATAGGACAAAACATTACACTGCTCTCCTGGATTATCTGAAGCTCTTGTGGACATCAGCAAAGGACAGACCATTTCATGGCACAGCCTTTCTCATCAGATCTCAAGCTGATTTATGAATTGAAAAGCTCAGGGAGAGCTCACAGTAGTAGACATGCACAAGTCCTGCTGTTCTTTTGAGAAATCCTTCTTCCAGAGATGTGGAGACAGTAAAGCTCTGCAGACTTCCAAGGTTAATTTACTGCTTTTTTTTTCTCTGATGCAGCTGAGCATGAGGGAACAGACACAATCCACAGCCTCAG